ATACATGATACTTTACTGGTCTACTTATATGACTTGAAATGAATTTGAGGAAGTGTCAAGAGTCTAAAAAAAACTCTCTGCTTCACCACTATGATTGTAGTTCATAAAAAATTTTTACTTCATAGAAAACATGAATATGTAGTTCATAGAAAACCAAGGATTTAGGGAATACAGATTATTAACGGAAAATTCACGTGATGATTTTTCACATCTTACATGAAATTTATCATTTCAGGTGATTTTGCTTGTAACAAAGCAAGGAGATATGGGGATACAACTTTTATGATAAATTTGTAGCATAAGCATTTACCTAATGTATGAAATTTGCATCAATAATTCAAGGTAATTTTGTACACAATGAACCATGCAATGGATTGCCTTGGTTAAAAATGGGTGGGTCAGTGTCAGCAGCAAACGGTGCTAGCAGCCTGCCAACCAGCCAGCATAAAACCTGCCATCCAGCCTGCCAACCAGCCTGCATAAAACCTGCCATCCAGCCTGCCAACCAGTCTGCCAACCAGCCTGCCAACTAGTCTGCCAACCAGCCTGCCAACCAGCCTGCCAGCCTGTCAACAAGCCAGCCAACCAGCCTGCCAACCAGCCTTTCAACCAGCCTGGCAACAAGCCTGCCAACCAGCCTGGCAACAAGCCTGCCAACCAGCCTGGCAACAAGCCTGCCAACCAGCCTGCCAACCAACCTGCCAACCAGCCTGCCAAAAGCCTGCCAACCAGCCTGCAAAAAACCTGCCAACCAGCCTGTAGCAGCTCAGTTGGGAATTTTGAGAATAAAAGACCAGAAAGAAGTGTGGTTTTATGTCCTTAGGTGCCTAATTCCGCCTAACAAATATTAAAAATGTATGTTGTTGCATTGATTACATTGAGAAACTTCAAAGTATCTTTCATGCAAGAAATACTTGGTTAAGTAAATTATAATTTGGATATAAACATTACTTGAAAACTGATTGCTCCAAGCCTTGCAGCGTTCAGTTTTGGAGTGACTCATGCGGCCCATGTGCACATGGGGCCCAATTTATTTAGCAAATATTTAGATCAAGAGGGATAGTTTCAAGTCTCTATGCTGAATCATAAATTTTTTATATTTTTTGGCTGAATTGGGCTCCAAAGGAAACTGCACTTTGCTGAGGCCTACTTTCAAATTTTTTGACTACGCTGTTGCAGCTGCTGGCGCAGCTTGCTGCCAACACAATGCCTGCCCACCTCTTTTGTTAATTTAGTATGCAGTTATCTTTTGTTTGGGAAGGTGCTAGTGTGTTGTGTGGCACCAGCATTGGCCCGGAAAGAAGCATTGAATGGTTCAAAGAGTCATAAGACCATGTTCTTTTATATTACCTATTAGAATTGCACTATGGTGGCAAACCAGAAATTTTTTAGAATCAGTAGGTATGTGCAAAATAACATTCTTTTCCTTGGACTGTAATGAAAGTTTATAAATCTGAAATGAGAAAAAAATTTGAAAAATACCATATAAATTTAATTGGAATACAAATAAAAGTGAAAAAGCTATGAATTTTTTCCTTTATTAAATAATGTCCCAAAATCAAAAATGGACCAATATTCGGCACTTCTTTGGAAAAACTGTCATTTCCATGTTTCCTAAGAGCCAATTTCAAAGATTTTAGTACCATTAGAAAGCTTTTGTTGCAGCTTATCTATTCTAACTAAAATAAAACATTTCGGTTGGTTGACTGCCGGTGGGTGGAGAAACGAGTGTGACTGATAGATATGAATGGTATAAATTCACAAAAATGCAAAACTATAAATGAATAATTAGAAAAAAACTAAACAAAATAAATTCCAGTTTTGTGTTTTGGCACCTTATATTATCTTTAACCACGAAAGTGGTTAAAGAAATAAACAAATTTATTACCTTTGAAATAAACAAACCTTTGAAATAAAACCTTACCAAACCTTTGAAATAAACAAATTTATTTCAATACCCAAAAAATCATGTTCATATCTTTAAATAGGAAGTGTCAATTCAAGTTTAAATATAGTTGCTCCTGTGAGCAGTTGACCATTTTAGAAATTGCATTCAATGTGTTAAAAATTATGCTAAGGAGTTTGAGAATCCATGTTAAATTGTTAATACATCTAATATCCTATATCTTCCAGTTATGTTAGAATGTTACTGTGAAACTGAAGCCGAGCTACAAATCATTCTGGAGTACAATACTGCTAAATCTAATTGGATGATGTCTTGCAATCCTTTACCTAAACAAACAATGATGTGGTTACAACTGAGGAGTGTTATGAAGTTATTGGCAAAAACCTGTGGTAGTAAATTGCTTGATCTTGATGATCAGTTCCACCTATTACTTCTATATTAAAAAATAATAAGTGACAACTAATGAATTCAATGAACATGCCCAAATGTTCATAAAGAAATGCTTCAATGATTAAATTACACTAATAATTGAAGCCTCTGTCCCAGCTAGTATGGAAAACATCTACTCTCAAACTGAAATACAATATATCTGCCTTTTTTTGAGACATTAGCAGTCATTTTGAAGCTACAAAATCCTCACCAGATGGATTGCCTCCAATCTAATTGTTAATTAAAGTGCACAATCAGGCTGAAATATTCCAACTTTGTAAAGAAAATTTTTAACTTTGCGAGCTGCAAGATTTCATTCATAAGTAGGATATTCTAATAACACTCTTGTACCTAGCTGAAAAATCAGGCTGTAGCCACCCATGTGGTAAATAAAACTTTAAACACATAAGAATGTGGTCCATTTCACCCATTATTATGAACCTTCCCCATCTTTTTAAATGTAAAATGAAGGCAATAAATTTTTACCCATTATTCTCGAAAAACACCTGCAAAATGACTGGTTTTGCCCCAAATTTTTGGAAATCTATCCCATATCGGTTTGCTAAGCCACAAGTGTATTTATGAAGCAATGAATTTATAGAATTGTTCCACAGGAGCCTAGCCCAGGCATGGAATAAAACAACAGTGCAATTCTTATTCTTCATAGTAGTATTAGTCCATCTTCATGGCAAGTTCTCTGCACGTACAGAAATGCATCAGATGGCAGAAAACACATCATTTAAAAATAATTAAATGTACAGGCTAGTCGGACATGACTGAGCAAGTAAAGCACTTGATGAGAATAAATCTTTCAGATTCTAATTTGGCATTTGGCTCAATGTAATTGCCTTTTATTGAAAAATAAGTTACCTCAGTATAGCACAACATCAAATTTAAAATGCAGCTTCAGATAAATATATTGGTCAAGGAAAACAGGGCAAAATGCTTGGTCAAGTAGTGAGCAATGGAATGACATTGGCAAGTTTTTCATGATAAATTGTAACAATAAATTGTAACAATGTAGATCACATGGAGGGATAGAAAAAAAATATACAAAAACCGCAGCTAAGATTGGCTACATTAGCGTGGAAAAATCATATCAGATAGTGTAGTGATTATTGATCAGTAATACATTACAAAGGAGGCAAAAATAATATTGCAAAACCATTTTCAAAAAGTCACTAAAAATTGCAAAGATGTAGACCATATATTCTGCAGCAGTAGAGGTAATGCAGCATTAATACCATTCCAACTGGTTGTGAAATACAAAATCAAGCAACATTTAATCATATTATTAGAACATCTTTGCTCACATTATCATCAGATTGCTTAAACATACAAACTCTTGCAGAAATTGGTGACACATGCCAAGCCATAATCAAGGATTGAAACTAGAGCTACTGGCCACTAGTAGATCTTACTGATTTTGCTACATTGGTAAGGTAAATTTTAATGCTGGGAATTATCCTGGCCCAAAAGTATCAAGCCAGTAATGCTTTTTCCAGGTTGAGAAAAGCCATTTTGAGCTGCAAACTTAATTGTGTAGCTCTGCGCACAAGCCATGCCAAATCTCTAATTTTGTCATAGAAATGGCCCTATAAATATTTTTCATTTTTTTAGAGGCAATTAAGCATTTGATGACTTGTCCAGGGTGTTGCATAATGCAATACAATAGTTCTGGCAGGTGAGCAAGCCAGTGTTGGTCATAGATGGGCCCATAGTGCCCTGAATAACTGACCTATCATCCCGCCCTCACCTGGTTGCCACTACCAGAATGGGCAATGACAACAACTATGGCTTATTGTGCAATGTAAAAAATAATTCTTAACTCTATGCCCCTGTTGAATCACCTTTTTGCCGTATTTTAGAAAGATATTGTTGTTTTGTTATGCAATAATTTACCACACCATGTCATGTTGCCCCAATGCACACCATCAAGCTGAGCATGTAGATAACTTTATCAATAACCAGGGTGTCGGTAAACAATCACTATTGAACACATTAATGTGTTATGGTTAGTTGTTCAAGTGAATAGATCTATTCCAAAAGGACTAATAAATGTTGCTTGATGACTAGTTGATTAGGTTATAACTAATAATGTGATGAAGAAGATTTATGGAGCCAATTTATTTCAACGCCTTTGATATACATCTTAATTTAGCAAATTTGACATTGCTATGTGCATTCAAAAATATTGTTAGCCCTGTTCAGGACTGAAAATTCTCTCTGGATATAGTGTCTTTGATGTCTATACTGTTGAATTTCACATCCATTTCAAGATGGCTTCTATTTATTATATATATATATATGTCATATTCAATTATAGTCTAGTTTTCTGCATCAACTATTGCTGATGCATGCATAAAGCAATAAATTATGTGCTTAAGTATAACTTGGGACAAGTGAATTTTGTTGCATGTTTTAAAATTAAAGTCTACTTATGTGCCTCTATTGCACTTTATAATTTCCTGTATCCCTCCAGTGTTACTACTACTACTGCTAACATTATAGATTAAAATCTTCAACCTCTGTGATTCATAACTATCATCACATTTAGTAATGGCACCCATTAAGAAAAAAGTCAGTGTTGCGCAGCATCAACTCTCAGATGCTACAGTCAGGAGTGGCAGATGCCCTAAGCAGAGCCTCACTCAAGCATCTCCTGGTGGCAGCAAAGTAAAGGCTGAAGGTAAGGAAAATGTCAAGTGCCATACTGATCAACTCTTATTCCTCAGAGGTAGAACTGAGGATATTTCAATTTATTTTATTTTATTTTTATCTGTATTTATTTCTTATGAGTTTCAATACAAGATTTGATAACTATGTATGTGAATTTGTTACCTCACGAGTCTCACTCATCTGAGTGATATGAAATTTTTTCTAAGGCTCACACTACTCATTAATTTAGTGAGCATTATATTTACTATGAGATATCTTGCACATTAACCCCATACATTACCCCATTTGTTGTTGATGGTACATACAATTTCTACTGGAAGCTAGAGTCAGCCTGGAAACTTGAAATTTAATTGAATACCATACTATATATACATTAGCAACTAGTATTATGTTGATGATAGATATTAACCAAGATTAAATTCTTGAGAGTTGATGTTTTGAAATCAGTACATACTAAAGTTCAGATATAAATGTAAAATATTGATAGAATTTTAAACCCTGAAGAGGCTGTAACATGAATTAGTATCTGTGTAAAAGTTGTATCAAGATGCTGTTTATAGCAAAATGCCATTTATATTCACATTTTACACAGCACTGCAGACAATATGTGACCAAGTCTAAATTTGTTTGTAACATTTTACTTCTTAGACAAGTCTAGGATAAAGTTCAAACTAATTCTATTCTCAATGGAATGCACTACTATCAATACCAATTAAGGCATTACTGCACTTATGTTGCCAGTCTCAAAGAGAAAGGATTCTATGATAGTTTATTGATGATATTATGTACTTGATGCTAGAAAATATTACCATTTGACAATCATTTTCAATTACATTACAGAAATGCATAAAGTTTCTGAAGTTGTGCTCTCCCATGATGTATACATGGTGTGTAGGCAGCATGCGTATACCACTGACGCAGAGGAGGTTATGGGACTGCTAGTGGGGAGCTACATCCAAGTAAGTGTCTTTTCTAATAAATTATTATATTGTATGCATGCAGCTTAAATTTTGAGTATCCTTTAATAAAGATTTACAAAAATATATCAATTTAATAAATTTGCTGGCAATCCTTACTTAATTATCATTATTAGCTGGGTGCACTACACCTATTCGTAACATCATACCAAATAGAAAGTGTTTTTCTACTTCTTGCACTATCCACACATAGTGTAGGCAGGGTTTAAATTTGGTGTTTAATTTCACCTGAAATGACAAATATTAAGAATAGTTGCATTTCCACTTGATACATACTGCATCTTATTGAAAACTTTTTGCTCATAATGATTGTCAGAAAATTATTTGTGTTTGAGTAACTGAGACAGTGTTAAGGCTTAAACAATCTTTCAACCTAGTATTTCTTTTTTTTTTTTTGAATTTTTTGTTTTTGTTTAACTTATTTATTTAACTTCTGTAGTATTGTTGTTTCTTGTATGGAAACATTTATGAAAATGTATAGCTTAGGCTCTGATGGCCTTTCACAATGATTTTTACCATACATTGATTTTTAATATACCAGAATTTTTTTAGTTATGTTCAGTGAAATATTATTAAGATCAGGATGGATCATCAGGTGATTCTAATTTTTTTTATTCTATCAGTCAGAGAGTGATAAAGAAAAGAATGAGCAGAATGTGACGTGTGATGTCATCCATGCTGTCATTCTGCCCAGGTCGGACAAGAGAAAAGACCGTGTAAAAATCTCTCCTGAGATGCTCATCCAAGTAAGACAATGTGTTAGGCATTTGTATGAAGAGTAAATAGATTGATGTTTTGGTAGATATTCACAACTTGCATTTATAAATATAGACTTGAATTGATTGTGGGCGAGATATGTTGCTATGATTGCTATATTATAAAACATTGTAGAATGAAGCTTTGAATGTATTGTAGATTCTATTCATATCTAAGCACTAAGTGCTTGAGCTGAATGCTAAGAAGCTTCAAATCTTAAATTAAAATTAAAGTGAAGATAATTAAAAACTTGAAATTTTTAATTCATCTACAGAATTCATTAGAATGAAATTATTTAGAGAATACATATATATTTTTTCAAATTGGCAGCTAAAAATTGATAGAGAATTCATTGTCAAGTTGAGAAGGAATGCTAACTTGAACATGTCATTGTGCATTGACTGATATTAAATTTTGCATTAAAGGGTCAGCAGAAAGCTGAAGAGATTAGCAAAACCAGCAAGACGCGCGTCAACGTAGTTGGATGGTATCATTCCCACCCGAAGACTACCGCGGTACCTTCCACTATAGGTAAGAAATTCAAACCTGTTGACATTGAAAAATTGTTCAAATTTTGTCTTCTTATTTTCACATTGTGCTATGATTTGAAAGTGTTCTAATTATTAGTTGATTGTGGAATCAATGGACAGAAGCCAGGAATAAAGGAGATATGTTTGAGTACTGAGCAGTATGTTGTCAAGGTTGATTTACGCAACATTTATCACGGTCAGAAATGTTCTAGAATGTTCAGTGCCATCTATAAATTTTCATTTGAAGAGTTGTCTGAAAAGTAGAAACTAATTGAGATTTTTTCTTATCGCAATTGAACTTCAATAGATGTAATTTTTTTAGATATTATCACAAGTTTGGGTATCTATTCATTTTTTTATAAATAATGGACTAACTTCCAGCAAAGATTACTTATTTTATGAACTAAATAAAAATCATGCTACTTCTTGTGTGTAGAAGCTTGTTTCTATTGCAAGAGAGATCTGAAGGCAATCTTACAAATACTTCTGAAATTTGCTGTTTAGATAGGTGTCAGTAAATTATTGTCCTATAACCCTCACAATCAAGAGGTGAGGGATATATGGCATCTTCCCTCACAATCAAGAGGTGGAGAATATATGACATCTTCCCATATGTGGCCCCATTTTCATGTATTTGGTAGTGCAGATTCAAGAGCCTCAGTTGTCATGTATTAAGGTAGAAGGAATATAATGTCATGTTGAAACAAATTAATTATCTTCATACTGAAAAAACCCTGTTATGCTTTTTGTGTCAAATGTGATATATTTTCTCACATTATTTTCAAATAATGTGAAATACAGCAGCTGGCTGTATTGATGACAAAGAATGGTTAGTTTTTATATGGAAGGCTGGAGTGATTTATATTAGGAAGAAACCCTTAGATGATATGCCTTCGAGATTCTTGCTGAATATAAGAGGTAGGTTGTTTTCTTCCACTTCTTTGTAGCCTGCAATTACCAGCTTTCTTTTAATCCTAACGGACTGCATAATTACAAAAAAGTATACACCTACTCTAGGTTAGATTGTAATGCTTCAAAATTATGATTCAAATAAATTGGTTGGTGATTTTTTGCGTATGATATGCTTGTAACATAATTGTATGACACAGGCACTGGTTGGTATTCACAAAACCCTGCTTCAAGAAGAGCTTGCGGTTTTGGACAAGCACGCTTTCAACAGCCCCTTAGTGCACCAACACAATATGGCAGGTGAGTGTAGGGATGGTAGCCTGCATGCCCTCACAGAAATGAGTGTGAGACTTTGTCCAAATAGCGATGCATTTTTTTTTTGTCCTTGTATGGGTCGTCCTTATCCAGTTTGGCTCAACATAAGGACGTATCAATGCTACGCGCAAAAAGTGTGTCCCTATTTAGATGTCAGGCCGTGATGTCATTAGCGACTATTACGTCACCTTCTGTGACGTCACTACTCGCGGGTCACCGCGTATATAAGCTCTGTGAGCCGACTGCCAGTTAGTCGTAGGTGAGCAGTCTCAGTCTTAGGCAGACAGCCTTCAGCTGCAGTCATGCAGTTAACTCTAGACTCCGGCACTCATACCAACACGCAGTGTCGTTATACTCTATCTCCAAAATTACTGCACATACTGTGCTTTGATCCTGTAACTTCTATCTAATGTATCCCGTAAACCTAACTTTAATACTTACGCTTAGATACACGTCTTATCATTATCCTTCCCTGGCCAATGAATATTTAATCTGTTATTCGGACAATTTATTAACGAACCAAAACCCCTCAGGTTTATCTACAATAGATCAGACAGATCCATTCCAGGGTTCGCCTGTCAACGAACTTTGACAGAGTTATAAACTTTGACATAGACAACCTGACCCATTCTTTTTTCTTAATTATTTATCCATTTAATTTCTAATTTCTAGATTAAATGCAAGATATTGTTCAGTATCTTATGTATATTGATACTGTGATCCATGAGTCTCACTGGTTAACTTATTGTACTCAATAGGGAAAGTCGACAAAAAAGTCTCTTGTTTGCAGTTATGTGTTGGAAGGTGACGCGTGGGACAATATCAATTAAATCCTTCAAGGCAAATCATGTTGAAACAACGTTGAGTATGAGTTGATTTCGTAAAAGCAATATTGATTACAACTTGATTTCATTCAAACCTAATTTGTTGCAACTTTATTTAATCGAAACAACATTTTACAGCGTCAGTTGCCGAGTGGGAATTTCATCTGTTAGCCCTTTGTATCGTTTCAATGCACGTTGATGCAAATACCATTGACCACGGCTGTTGCAGTCATTGCCTGTGGATTACATGTAATTTTTTAATATTTCAAATAAAGGCATTTACCTGAGGTCAGGAACATTATTTTTCACACGATAAAAAGTGTCAAACTTTGCCTTCTGAAAAGTCCGCTCTATCTTTGCCACTCTGACTCTCAGTTAACGGTTTCATAAGGGCTATTGGAAACAATCAAGGCTCTACCTATATATTTAAATAGGCCCTACCTATATATATATATATATGGATTAGTCTCGTATGGTGTCAGAGTTGAAGAAACTATGTGCTAATTTTGCCTGCTGCCATTTCTTGTACCTTTCTTGCCATGTCTCTTGGAGATTCAGAAACTAATCTTTAGCCACATTTTTTCCAAAACAGACACAGAAGCAACATAAAAACTTTATCATTGGCTTTATTATTTGATGTTTTATGATATCTGTCATGTTTTCAGTGGCGGAGCAACGCATAACTGGGCTGAACGCGCAGCTGATGGATCTGTGCAACTCAGTTGTCTTGGAGGTCCGCGCCCAGACCCTCCGTCAGCGTCACGACGATGAACTCGATGCCGAGATTAATCGTCTCACAAAACTTCTACATGATCGCAACATCGATTTCAAACTACCACTTTAGTTTAGAACTGCCATAGATAGATAGATGATGAAATATTCATCAGATTCATAATGAAATGATGCGTTATTTGTTTGTTTTTCGACTAAGTTTTAAGTAACGGGCGCATATTTTTATGAAGACTGCTCTACTATTGAGCTATGCAGACTGCAGACTGCTGTTACATTTCTTGTCTGAACTGCAACAATGATCAAATGACAAAGTAGTTTTAAGTAACGGGCGCATATATTTAAGGTATCAGCGCGACTGCATCGGATTACGTATTCTTATGAATTGCCTAATCTTTTTGTTTTCGTTATTACAGCGTTTATTTTATTTTCCGTTATTTATTATGTTTTTGGTTATTTTAGTGAAATTTTTCCATTTATTTTAGCGTAAGCCTGATTTAAGAAGTTTTTCGATACCTCTGTAGAAATGTCAGAGATCATATGTTCGACAATATATTGATATTTTTCGAGGACAATTATCTTCAATTACCTAATTTTTTTGATGATACGCTGATTAGGATACAATAGTTAGGTGATATCGCGTTTACGGACCTACGGTAGCTTTAGTTCTCAGAGCACTAGACCGAGCTATATGTTCTCAATACACTAGACCTTCCATGCACCTAATTATCTCCAATAACCGCTCTTATTCCTCAGTCTTGCTGAATGTGAAGCGTGCTGCAGTCATTTTGTCCAGCGTATTAGTATAGTATGACCAAAGTCTCTCTTGGCAAACGGTTTCTGCCCAATTTTTAATGACAGGAGCAATGGCGTCATACGTAATCTTTTAAGACTCCTGCTCAAGGCCTGTAAATAATGTAGGAAGTAACCGCATAGTACATCAAAGTGAAAGTGCACAACAAATTTTAAAATGTTTCTACACGAACTCGGATTCCGTTTTGAACAAAAAAAAAATGAACTGTTAACTGTGATCGCAAACGAGTGTATAGACATTATTTGTATTACAGAAACACTCCCTAAAAATCACGGGGGGAAATTGTACCTGTTGAATTTCAGTTGCCAGGTTTTGATTGTTTTCATAACTTAAATGAAGAGCAGTGCAATGGAATCTGTTGTGAGGGATAGGATTATCGATCACTTGACAGCTCACCATCTCATATCAAATGGCCAACATGGTTTTATTGCCGGTAGATCCTGCACCACTAACATATTATCTAAGTTGAACGATTGGACTCGTCTGCTGGACGAAAGGAAGCCAGTGGATGCATTGTACCTCGATTTTGCCAAAGCATTCGACAGTGTTCCACATGAGCGGCTGTTGCGTAAAGTGAAGTCTTTGGGAATTGAGAGAAACGTACTTCGACGGATCAGAGATTTTCTAGTAGGTAGACGACAACGTGTCAGTATTAACGGAACCGTGTCAGACTGGGCATCAGTGCGCAGTGGCGTGCCACAAGGAAGCGTTCTTGGGCCTATTTTGTTCGTTGCTTTTATAAACGATTTGCCAGAAGCAGTGTCCAGCGTGTGCTCCATGTATGCCGACGACACAAAAGTTTATAATACAGTTAAGGATGGGTCAAATAAAGCACAATTACAAGATGATCTTGACAGTTTAGTTAACTGGGCTGATACGTGGCAGCTGCGGTTTAATGCTGACAAGTGTAAAGTACTTCACCTCGGTAAGAACAATGAACAGCAAGATTACAGTATGAGAAGACATGGTTGCAACGAGAGAGTAATGATTGAAAAGTTTAGTATGGAAAAAGATCTCGGAGTTTATGTCGACAAGCTAGGAGCTGAAATTTTCTAAGCATGTTGAAACGCAAGCTAACACATCCAACAAACTTCTTGGACTAATCAGGCGCTCATACGAGTTTCTAGATTGCAGAGTGGATGTCTAGTAGCTACTTCAAACTATCGTCAGTCATGAAAAGATCCGGTCAAATGACACGATTTTAGATCTTCTGTGAACAAGGCACGAAAAGGAAAAGAATCGGCGACAGGCCACATCAGGCCTACACTTCAGCGCCGAGATCACTATGTTATGTTATTAATTTTATAGTTAACAGGTATCGAGCACCCGCCTCACCATTTCACTCTAAATTTCAAACCATCCGTCAACTAAAGGGTTAAACTGGCAGTGGTTAAACTGGCCCAGTGGTTAAAGTTCAGAGTACCAGGATTGTAGCAGAGCGCGGGTTCGATCCCAGCTCTGGGCGCCAGTTTCTGGTCAGAATCGGCAAGGAGGCCGGGCGGTTAAGCACAGCAGAATTGTAGCAGTAAGTTGCGAGTTCGAGACCGCTACAAGCTGTGAATATTCTGCTATGTTAAGGGAACCGGCTACCCTAAAATTTTCAATATTGGCGTTTTCCGGTTTTTATGCTCATCTTAAAGCTTACTTTTTGACGCATCCAACGGTACCAGAATCATCCCTCTACGTCGAAAAATGATTTCGTAACAGCCCCCCGAAGGGGGGAGTTTTTAGAGCCCTTCACTAAAGCCTATGGGATTAATTAGAAGGCTGGACACACTAAAAAGAAACGTCTAACGTAAAGCGGCCAATTATGGCATTATCCGGTGCTTATACTCGTCTTAAAGCTTACTTTCTGACGAGAACATTGGTAGCAGAATCATCTTTCTACCTCCATTTTTACGTTCACCACGCCCCATGGAACGGGGGGCGGTGGGGGGCGGCCTTAACAAATTGCTAAGGCAGTAATTACGGGGCGTGACTTCATATACTGCCAGCTGCAGCCAGATCTTTCAGTGCCTATCATGACAGCGAGGTGAGCGGTGTGCAGCCACTCGCTCTATGCCTTCCTCACTTAGTTTTAAGGCTTAGTTGCGGTATGTTGGCTACGTTACGACTCTTTTACGTCATTTTACGTGCCGCCCGGCAGTTTTTTGGGCGTGGTGGAAACCTCCGATTGGTCTCACGGCAAACCTATCTCCTCCTACAGTTTTCAAGCTACAGCAATGAGACATATACCATTCGATTTGTAAAGACCATACCTAAAGACTCTGTGATCACTTTTTTGAATTTCAGTCTGGTTCGTTTTTTATATGGGGGAGAAGGGGGGGGGATGAGAAAAATGGGAAAAACGCGCCTAAAAAAACCAAGGGGAAAATGAGAAAAGTGATCACAGAGTCTATAGGTATGGTCTTTACAAATAGAATGATACGTGTCTCGATGTTGTAGGATGATATTTGTGGGAGGAGATAGATTTTCTGAAGGACCCCTTTTTAGCCATTTTCTATCAATTTTTTCGAAAAATTCATCGGAGCAAAATGTTATTGTTTTTACATTTTACGTATATATGTGAAGTTTCATGATGATCGGATAATAACTGTAGAAGTTTTTCCGGAGGGTAGCCGATCCCGTAAGAATCGGCGACAGGCCTACAGCCTAATGAACGCTGAAACCGCTATTATTATTATTATTATAATTATTATTATTATTATTTATATTATATAAAGATAAAATTATTACCGCAGACAAGAGGTACTACCAAAAGGTGGACTAAATGGTGTGCGAGCCGCACGCATGGCGAAGAAAGCGACGCGCGATAGTTCTTGTAGTCTGGCAATCTCCAGTTGCAGACTTTACAACGGTGTGGAGGCTACCAATTACTACTATGACTTAAATCAGTGAGGTCAATTACAGCGAGACCAATGAGAGCTTCAGTTGGAAACGTTTAGCCAGTTGGACAAAAAATTCTGTTGACTAGTGCCGTGCGGCAAATAAAAGTAACAATGGTGTACAAATTTGATTTTAGGCACCGCAATTCAAGTACTTCAAGCTTTAAACAATGGTTTTGTTTAGTACATAAACATTCGACCGGTCGCGCAATTTCAAACTTGCTTTGTGACTTCGAATCTGGTTAAATCCTTCTGTCCTATTGATACAGGCAATTTTCGGTGCAAATGAATCCAATTCAACTCACAAGTCTAACTTTTGACCAATACTTAGTAGCTAATTAGTAGCTTAATCCAACTACATGTAACTTTTACTACCCTCATGTTACAGTTTAATTGTACCATGCGAAAGACTGTGGGGTAACATTGAACAGGATTCAAACCATAATATGAAGCAATATTATGGTTTGAATCCTGTTCAATGTTACCCCACAATCTTTCGCATGGTACAATTAAACTGTAACATGAGGGTAGTAAAAGTTACACGTAGTTGGGTTAAGCTACTAATTAGCTACTAATAAGAGTACCATTTTAGTGACTTGTTTTCTATTGTGGAATATTTAATTGATTACATACATGGAACGCCTCAACATTCAGGAGGTATACATCTTCATCTCATATAAAAACCTAAAAGTGAATAAACCTAAATATTCATGAAAACCATGAAGGTTAGAAAATTTCCATTTTAGTAACATTCAGAATCTTTTATTGTCAGACAATTCGTTTAGTCCTGTATTTTTTTCCTCATATAAATAATTCTTCCGCGAACACACAACAAAACAATGTTCCGGATTTGTTTGTTGATACCTTCAGTCGCAGCGGAGATATTGTGCTCTGTGAATCGTGATCAACGTAACGATCTCTTTTGCGTTTAAACATATTATTGTAAACTATTACAGTTATACATTCACTAATCACTAACTTGATTTTGTATTGCACTTTTCTTTATACCACGAGTATATTAGCTAAGTGTTCAATTTCAAGAACCCACGCAACGATCGCAGGCCACTGTAGCGTCATTGACGTTAAGCGATCCCAGCTTGCAAAATTTACAAATTTCTCCTCGCTCATTTTGCAATTTGATCTTCGAATTCGGTTTAACAGGACTGGAAGCCTTCTCATTTAATTTTTTTCCTCTCTGACCAGCTATCATGAAATGCAAGAGCTAAAGAAAAAACACAATTTAAAACTGAAACAAGTTAAGTAAAAATTGTAAAGTTTCAAAGAGCTGTAAAACTCTGTTACAGACTTGAAAATAAGCGGCTTTCAGTCGTCAGCGGCTGTAAAAGGTGTCAGGGTAGAGGAGGTAAGCTTGGCCATAAAAACAAGGGCTCTAATGTTCTACCCTGGCGAGGCCTGCCTGCGAGGGCACGTTGCCCTCGCCTGGCCTGCCTGCGACCCTCGCTGACTCTAGATCGCGTTATTTCAGATGAAAACACTTCTAATATAGACATTTTTTTCTATTTGCACTCTCTTTTACTGACTTCACTGAAAATTCAGTCATTCACTGACACGGATCATAAAAAAATGCAAAAAGAGTTCCGAAAACGGCACAGTAAAAGTTAAAAGTTGAAAATCTGGGACCGCCAAACACGAGCGTCCGCTCTCGACCACGGCTGAAACTTGACTCCATGAAGGTGAGGAATGGAGGCAATCAACATTCTAAAACTGTATCTGATGGAAGAGATGTTAAAATATGAATGTATGTATGATGGTATGAGAGGTGGGGACCTTCTGTTCTGTGTGGGGGCAGGGGCGCTTGGTGTGAATGGACGTACATATGTGGAGTAACTGCCGGTCGTTACCCGCACGG